GACCACAGATAATAAAGCGATATTACAGGGAGGAGTGCATTCAGAAAATGACACATGAACGTCTGCTCACTCTGACTTCAAAGAGATGAAATCTGATCCGTGATACACTTGAGTAACATGTTAATCTAATAGGGCCCTGGGAAAAATATTATCATTTCATTTTGATCATTTACTTAACAGGGCGTTACTATAAAAACATAAATGCTCAGCCATTCATCAGCACTTAATAAAAAAAAAATAACATAGAATGTTCCGGCTCATAAATTAAGACAGGCAGCTTCTGTGCACAAACCTTTGTATTCCAGTCCAAGTCACTTAACGAAAGGTTTCGAGTCAAGTCTGAGCCGACCCCCAATGGTCTCCGTCCAGAGCTGCTGTAGAGGCACGGAAGAAATTAGTTGGGTTACCACAGTTGTAAAGTTCAAGCCACAGAAGACAGAAGAGTTCAAGTCGAGTCCACAGAGATTTAAACCCAACTCCATATCACTTAAAATGCAGTGAAGATAACCCAGGGTGTCAAGTCCAAGTCCAAGTCAATGAGGAAAACTTCATGTGCAGTCTTAGCAGAATACCTGGGGTTCCAAGTCCAAGTCCAAGTCCAAGTCGCCAAAGAAAAGTCAAGGTTCAATTTTTCACAGGAACCCAAAATGTTCAATTCAAGTTCAAAACCCAATTCCAAGTTCAAGTCACTTAAGAAAAGTTCAAGTGCAGTTTGAACAGAGATCCCAAGATTTCAGGTCCTAGTCAACCACGTAAAGTTCGAGTGCACTCACAGTCCAAGTTCAAGACCAAGTCAACGAGGATGTACATATTTTAGTCCAAGTCCAAGTCACCAAAGAAAAGTCAACAAGCAATCAGTAACAGAGAACCCAAGGTGTTCAATTCAAGGTCAAATCTGAGTCAGTGAAGAAAAGTTCAGTCTGAACAGAGAACCCAGGGTTTCAAGTCCAAGTCACAGAAGAGTCCAGGTCTGAAGAAGAAAAGTCAGTGCATTTATATACAGTAGATTCATATAAGGAGTTTGAGGTTGAATTTTATGCAAGTAGAGTCTGGACCAGGCCTTAGTCAAAGTCCAAAAATCCAAGTTGCGTTGCAGCGTAAATGTTCAATTTGATGTCAGAGCGGAGTTCCCCTGTGGTTTTTAGTTTGAGTCACTTAAGTACAATCTGAGTCAGGTCGAGGTCAAGACACAAAATTTCACTGTCTCACTTGGTTGTCTATTGAATATTGTTTCTTTTCTTTTTTTTAACAAGAAAGGCAGAGTGGGCAGGTCAAAAGGTCACGTGTTCTTATTTTAAGTGTCTGATCTGAAGAAGTGGAAACATGTCGAGACCACTTTGACAGGTTGTATTGTAACTTTTCTAGACCTGAATATGGATGAGACATGTCCCCTGGACGTCTCCAACCACTTTGACAGGTTGTGTTGTAACTTTTCTAGACCTGAATATGGATTACAATTTATTTATTTATTTATCAGGTTTTTCTTTTTCAACCATCCAAAAATTTAAATCTTTGCAGAGATTTTTCTTTCTTTTTTTCATTTTTTTTTTCATATGGCAGCCAAGCAGGCAGCACGTCGTACGAAGGCCAACTGCTAAAATTCCACAAAGAAGGAATTCTCACAGAAGCTCTAAGACGTGAATGACTTTTTCTTAAAACATTTATTCAATTGGTCTCAAAACTTTTTGACTTTCCCTGCTTTCATCTGCTTTCAAACAAGTATGAAGTGTCATATTGCTGCGGAACTACAAGCAGTGATATTACAAATGTTGAAGCTGAATTTCTAGGTTACCTTGACCTTCAAAAGTTGAATTAGGAACAGTTCTAAAAAAAAAAAATAAATTTTTTTTTGGCCAGTCACTTTACTGACTGAAGTTACTAAAAATACCGACAGGGTGCAGGGCGTGATCGTCTCTCTCGGTCTGAGATGATCGATCACATCTCCAGTCTTTTCATGGCACGAGGCGTAGGGTGTGGCACCGCACTGCAGCACCACTGATGGGACCAGGGCCCTGGGTGCCACCCAGAGCGAGGAAGAGGAGAGTAGGTGGTGAGGGAGAAAGAGACGTCGGTTTTGGTTCTCCACCCACTGTTTTTTTTTTTTGTTTTTTCTGGAGCACACCTCCCTTTGTGTTTCTTCCTGTTCCCCCTCTTCCTCCGCGCCTCTCCTGCTGGAGGTGCTGTCTTAGTGCGCTCAAAGCAGAGAGGTCTGTGTCTGAGAGTGGTGGTCTGAAATGAAACTAAGAGGGGCCTTGGGTGGTGGAGAATGCTAGCTTTGTCTCAGCTGCCTTTCACACTGTCTGGAGACACGGCAGGGAGGGAGCTGGAGGAGAGTGTCTGATTGCAAATTAGCAGTGCCAAATGGAGAGCCCTGACCACCTCCACCAAACTCTACCTTCATTTCCTCCTCTCCTCTCCTCTCCTCTCCCCCCCCCTCCCCCCCCCCTCCCCTCACTTTCTACTGTTTTTTTTTTCATTATATACATACAAACACACATACACCCCCCCCCCCCCACCCCTCCCCTCCCCCCTCCCCCCTCCCCTCCTCTCCTCTCCTCTCCTCTCCTCTCCTCTCCTTTCCTTTCCTCTCCTCTCCTCTCTTCTCCTCTCCTCTCCTCTTCCCTCGACTTCTTTTGAAAAGTTTTTATTTTAAATTGTAATAGAAAGTCACCACAGGACTCTAACCATGTGCTTGATGTATTTATCCCACAAATTTCTCTTTGTTAATTGATCTCAATGAGAGAGAGAGAGAGAGAGATTGACTTTATGCAAAAAAAAGGGTTTTGAAATGAAATATTTATGAGTATTCAAGTGCTGTAGTGCACCCAGCTGTAAGGTGTTGGACGATAAGTGCTTTAAATCTGTAGTCTCCTGCACTTTTTGAAGTGGAAAAACTTATTGGCGTCTGTTCATTTATACCATACACTATATAACCTATATATATATATTTTGTATTAATAGTTTGTATCAAACAGCCCTCAGATTTCCAAAGTTGTACCAAAAAAAAAAACCCAACCAACAACAAGAAAATAGACTTTAAGAACTTCAAGTTTTCATATTTAATTTTCTGTCAGCCCTGGCATTTTAATTTTAAATCAATAAAAAAATTATACATTTAGTCACGAAATTTAATTTTAATTCCTACAACTGACTTCATTAATTCCCTATATAGGAATGCTTTTTACACTTGTACTTAAAAACTGCATTTTTATACATCCATTGAATTATCCTTCACTTCAAAGTTATCATTAAAAAAAAAGAAAATGTTAATCGTGATGTGATGATGGGCTAAAAAGTTTATTTTTGATTTAACAATAAATGTTTGTGTGTAAATACACACACACATAAATATGTGTGTGTGTATATATACATGAATCCATCTACATATATATAAGCATTGATTCTATTTAATTAATTTATTTTGCAGCCTAATATTTCATTTTGTTGTAAAGGTTTTTGTGTGGACATTGTGAGTGAAAGTGGAAGAGAGATAAAAACTTTGTGTGTGTGTGTGTGTGTGTGTGTATTTGTCTTGATCTTGAGTCACTGCCGGTAAATTACCAACACCATGAACTTGTCTCACCTCCTGATCCCTACATGGTCATCCTATTAAACACACACACACACACACACACTCTCTCACACACACACACACAAATTCCTACTCCGACCACTGTGTCGCAAAACACCTTTGAATTACAAAAAATAAATCATTACTTTCATTTTTGTGACTTTTCTTGTGCAGAAGAGCTGTTTAACACACACTTGCATATAGACCATACCCACCCATTTCTACACACACACACGCACACTTGCTGTCACACAGTGTGTTGTACCGATACCAGAACATTTTCTAAATCACCCATTCAAAGTTTAAGGGTGACTGATTTTTTTGAGTGAAATATTTTACAAATTACAGCCCAAAAAACAGAACGGAATTAAATTATAATAATGCATGTAAATGGATTCAGTTGGTTAATTGAAAATATAAAATCAGCACAAAATTTACTTTCTCCTATCACTTTTGTAGGCATTTGATTAAAATTGATTATTATTATTTTGTCATTGTTAATTATATTTATAACTGTGTGTATTAAATACCAACTACATTATTAAGTTTATAATCATATTCTTACATTTAACACTTAACTAATTATTTAAAAACAGTTAAATTTAATGCACAAAATTCTATAGGATGTGCGAGATAAAACAATCCAAATGATTTAAACAGTGGGGTCGGGAGTTTTTTTTTTTAAATGCTGGGCTTGTCTTTTTTTTTTACGGCTCTGCACAGCGGATTAATCAATAAAGTGTCTGTGATGCAGTTGAGCAGGTCTGAGCTTGTCCTCAGTCACCTGAGGCCCTGACCTGAGGAGAACTAGATGTCCATTAGCTTGAACACACACTCCAGCTCATTAATTAACACCTCGCTGAACATGTGAGTGAGGAACGGGATGAGGCTGCTGTCGTATGTCAGGCAGCCTGAAGCATGAAGACAATTATTAGGCACACGGGCGGTACCTGTGAGACAAACGTTCAGCCTTCATGGAGGTAGAGTGCATGCATGTGTGCTCCTCTGTGACCACAGTTATCCTACTATCTTTGAAACCGGACACGGGCTTGTTTGAACCTCACTGTTTGATGATAAACACTCATTTAATGTGAAAAAGACTTCATTGCTGTGTAGAACACACAGCAGCCTCACTGTCGCTATCCCTGTGATGCTGGAGTGTTTTTTCTAAAACAGGCCAAATCCGGAAGGATCTTTGGTCGGTGTACAGGCTCAGTGTCCCCACTGAACTTTGATGCATTGGTACTTAAAAAAACAAACAATTGAACGATTGATTTATTAATTTAATTTATATAGAGATTAACACACACTAACACACACACAAATATATGTTTGTAATATATATGTTTATATGAATATATATTTTATATATGTCCTGTATATAAGTTAAAAGATAATGTAAATGTTTCCTAAATGACCAAAAACTAGCAAAATCACTATTATAAAAAATGCCTAGATATATCTAAATGTAGCCAAGGGTCACAAGAGGAGATGGATAATTCTAAATAAGCTAAAAGTTAGCCAAAAGTCTTGTAAGTCGCTTTGATAAAAGCATCTGGTAAATGCATAAATGTAAAGTGTAAATGTAAAAGTAGCCACAAACGATTAATGATTAATCTCTACTTTCTTCTTTTTTAGATTAATAGCTTATGTGTTTCTGAAAATGTAACAAAAAAAATAACTTAAATGTTTTCAGGAAATAGGCTTAACGAAAGAAATAAAACAGGGAAATTTAGCTAGGAAGTAGGTTAAACGGGCAAAATATTTTATTGGAAAAGCTGTTGCAAATATTGTTTAAATCTAAGCACCATGATATCAAAAGTTACCAAAACAAATCAAAAACTCTTTAGAAATGGATACACATTGATGAGAAACCATGGCAAAAATAACTGAAAAGGTAATTTAGCTGTAGCTTGGAATGATTGTGAATACATCAAAAGTAGCTAAAAGTAATCGAAACATAGTAAAACTGGCAATTATGATCCAAAATTAAGTAAAAATGCTGAATATTTTTCATAAACACATCACAGAAGAACCTATACAAAATTATCAACAAATGCAGAAAAAAAAATACTCAAAGTGGAAATTATAGCATAAGCTAGAGCAAAACCTATAGTTAGCCAAAGGTTGTCACAAAATTACTTTTTTAGTTTAAAAATTATTAACCGAAGAAAAAAGTCAAAGTTGACCCTCAAATAGCTTGAAGTAGCCGAGAGGTGTTTTATAAAATAACAATAAAAAAAGAAAATAAAAGAGGAAAAACTTGGGCAAGAGTAAAATTAAAAGTTAGTACTGGCACCTAAAACTGACTAAAACGAACTCTGAAATATTCTAAATTTGCCCCTAAAAGTCATTTGAAATACCACTGAACCAATTGCACTGAGGCAAATATGCCACTATGAACATGCACTTTTTAACCTGTTGTGTACAGTTTAAATGAAACCAAAAACAAAGTGGCTTCTGACTGTAGTGTTTCACTCCATTGTGGCATTCTAAAGTGTTTCTATTTAAAAAAGAAAACTTGTATAACCTTTGTCTTAGCGTTTGTTTTTCTTTCTCTTTATAAAACACGGGGTTTTTTTTTGCATTTCAGTTTTTCGTTTGTTGTCATTCTGTCTTCTGAGTCACACGGTGTGACATGAAAAATATTTTTAGTGAATTATCAGTATACGTGGTTTCATTTTACAAAAATCGAGACAACCTTCGACTCAAAATGAAGTAAAACATAGAACGGACGACTATTTTCTTCCGTTATTTCGAGGGTCAGATAAGTTCACACAAACAAATAGTGCTTTAAACTCGGCGGAGGCAGCAGCAGAAGAGGAGGGTGGTGAGGGGGCATTTAATAACGTCTGTTAAGCACCATTCTGCTTCTCTACATATTAAAAAGTGCGACGTTTTTTTGTTTTCTCTTTCTGCTGTTTTTCTGTTTATAAAAAAAATAAAGCAGAGCGACCTCGGGGTCCGCTGAAAGCCGTGTTGCTGCTTTTAAAACGGGGACTTCACCTCAGCTGAACCCGGCGCCTGTGTCTGCTTCGCGGCGGCAGCGGCCGCTCAGTCTGTTGCCTGTGTCCCCGTTGAACCGAAGCTGTAGCCGGCGATGAGAAGCAGCGAGGGGCGGGGGAGGGACGGAGGGGAGGACGGCGACACTTACCTCATTTGTCCCTGCTATAAGTGCACTACGAAACAGTCTCTCGGCTCAAATATTCACCGTGAGCTTGTTGTCTACCCCTCCGTCCACCGCTACTGTCGCTTTGTGTGATTTTCTGCTGTTTTTCCCTGCTCTGAGAGCCCAGACAGACGCCGCGAAGGAAATACAAAGAGGTGAAGTTGAACGAGCTGGAAGACGACTTGAACTTGACACCTGCTGGTGCGTACTCTTTATTTACATTCACATTTCACTATTTTCATCGTCACTTACACTTTCCACTTATTAAACGGCAACAGGGACTGCGATTTGTGTGCGTCCGTTTTAACCGTTAGTGCACTACGCAGCTGTTTTTCTTCCAGACCGAGTCACTGAATGGGTAGTGACACCATTACGAGCTTTAGGGAACTTTCCAGACGGGAGCTTATAATCATTGTCTGCACATTATGACAGCGAGTTCTCTGCTTTATCGTCCCCCAGTCTTTGCGTGGATGTGATACCAAACACGAGATGGGGCTTGTTTTTTTTTTTTTTTTTGCTGCCCCACTTTCCCCTTGCCTCTCACTCAGACAATAATCTTCCCCTTTGTCCCTGATGCAGGCAGTGATAAAGCAGCAGGCGTTGTTCACCGTCAATTCAACAGTTGAACTAGGGCTGTAGGCAGAAGTGAACGGCCGCGAGAAACGCTATGTGAACATCAGGACCTGTGTTCAAGGTCCCGTGACACAACTCGGAACATTATAGAGTACAGGATAAGGTCGAAGGAGGAATCTGCCTGAGTGCAAGTGACATGGGTTAGAAACAGTTGTTGGAAAGCAGTGACCACTTTGTGGTCTGTGGCAGTGGAACTTTAATGACTTTTAAAATTAGTTGACATTATGGAATATACTGTATATACAAATTCAAACCCGCTGACTTCCTGTTATGTAAAGTACCCGAACTAGACTGATGTGTGCATTATGTGTCGTGCAAGTTTTGATTGTTTCTACATGTTCAGAAAGTGAAAATGTATTTTGTGGCAAATTAGTCAACAAGTCAATATGAAAACAATTTAGATCCCACCATTGAACCGAGTCTTTATTATGTGATAAATCCCTCTGCTAAAGATGTAAAGTAACAGCAATTTATCAAGCTTTACTGTGATGTTCCAGGCAAACAAAACATAACTCGCAAGAAAGGTTCAAAGTATTTCCCATTATGGATAGTTCAAAAGCAACTTCTCCATGGAAACCTTGGGTTTGATGTGGTTGGCTTAAGTTTCCAGTGCATATTTAAAGTATCCCCATTGTAGGAGAAGATGAAAAAAATGTTAAGATAAACTGTAATAATACACTGTTAACACTGTACTTACAAGGTTTTCAGCTGGAGCCTCACATAAACTCTTCAATCCATTAGTAAGGATGAAGAAAAAAAAATTCAAATCAGATCAGACTTTAATGCTTTGCCACAGATACACCAAGCAATGTTTTCTTTTTAAGTAGTCAATTATTTTTCACAAATGTGATAAAAGTCACATGACTAGGATTAACAAACAGATGTCTGTACGTGGTGAAAACAGCCAATTATTCCCATGAGTCCAAAATTGCAAAGTCTGCTCTAATTTTTTGCTTGATTGACTCAACGCACATGATTACCAAATCTTTGTGCCTATGAAAGATGCACTTTGGTTAAGGGATGACATTCGAAGTGGCAGTGCTAAATATTATTTCATTGCTAAAGCAAACACAAACATTAGTCCAAATTTAGTGCCCACGTGTTAATTTTATGCCCATGTTTTCTAAATTTTGTTCTTTGGTTTCTGGAGTTTCCCTGATGTCCAGTTCCCCAACGATGTAAATGTTTTGGCAGAGGAACAACAAAATGTTTGAGATTTAAATAGGAGCCTGGCATGTCAATGTCTGTGGGTTGCGTCATTGTTACTGGGCTTTTTTTTGCTATGCACCGTCACCGCATAGGCCCCTCAAAGACTCTCTGTCGTACTCTCCAAATGACCAATTTGTAGGATTTTCACTTAAATGTGCATTCAATTAAAAAGCTAGCTTTCTCTGTGTTCTTCCTGAGACAATCAGTGCTTGTGGGACATCAGGACATATGGTGGAGCTGTGTGGTTTCCCCTCATGTGTCACTGTGGTTTCCCTCAGAGAAGTTTTTGATGAAATTAATTTATGGAAATTTGAGTGGAGCTAAGGCAGCAGCTGAAGCCCTAAATGTATTTTAATGGTTGAAAGGCCTGTATCTGACCAGGCTTCTTTTCGGGTGGTGTTGTGAGCTTCTGTGAAACCTCTACATTTAAATATCTGTGTTTTGCTTCATCCTCCACAGCTTTTACTTCCTGGTGGCTTTAGATTATTATTGATTAACCTGCCAGTGCCTCACAAGTGTGCAGTTTGTTTGGCCATTTTTGCTCTATAGCAGCGTGCCATGTTGCACTCAGACTGGTACCAGCCTTATTGCCACACAGTTGCATCACATTTTTAACCCTGTGTGAAAAGGACTAAAGCTGCGAGTGTCCAGATAAGCAGCAACCACTTACCTGAGTATCTTTAAAAAAGCAAAAACAAAAAGTCCACGTTGACATGAATACAAAAGAATATTGTAAGACAAACAAAGACACTCCACTTTAAGGTAACGAGACAGAAATGTATTTTTCACCCACGTGAAATGTATGGACTGTGAGGCTCTGTTTAGGATCTAGACACTGTCTGATTTTGGTTTACATGTCTGAGATTCTACCTCAGATTTTGGTTATGCCTCAGATGACTTTTTTCCCACACTATATCGACTCCTTATGCTCAGCAGAAGTCAAACACACACACACAAACACACACTGCTCCCTGTTATCAGTTTATCTTCAGGAGTTGTTTGTTCTTCCAGATCTGGTATCCCTCATGTGTTTCGCTCCGTTCGTCTGTGTGCTTTGTCTGCAGGTTTGCTGGTTTAGTGAGATTCTGTTTGTACCAGAGTGTCAGTGGAAATTGCATCTGTGGCGGCTGAGAGTAACGCGGTGTCGTGCGATCGCCACATTCCCTCCTGCAGCATGTCTCGCTTTTTTTTTTTGGAGAGAGAGAAGCAGAACTGACAGAACGCTGGAATACAAACAGGGTCACCCTGACCTTTCTGGCTGCAGCTGTCTGTCGCAAAACAAGCTCTTTTATGTGATGTATTATGGCCCTGATATTGAATGTTTATAAAGCGTGGTTGCCGTTATAAACAGGAAGATGCCATTGTACTTTCTAGAAACACAGGTGGCTCTCAGACAATGGACCGGGGCTCATTTCTCCACTCAGGCACTGGCACAGGAGCATGCACTTGGCTGCAGAGTGAAAATTGGCGAGATTATTGTCTGATTTACCCTGCCACCCTGTGGCGCACAGCCCTCATTGTGGTCCATTACTGCAGTGACCAGCATAAAGCAGAGGAGAGACTCTCTGGGTTCGCCTGAATTTTCTCTTGTTTGCTTTCCGAACGGTTTTTGTCCTCCAACTCACTCTCGCTCCTGCTCTCTCTCTCTCTCTCTCTCATGTCTCAATCAATTGATTGAAACTCTAAACTGTAAGATCAGGCCAAGAGCAATCCAGCCTTTCTATGAATAGTTGATTGGACCTGATGGCAATGTGGTGTGTTGTTTCTTTAAGGGCATTTCAGGTCAGAGGGCGGGAGGCGGTGGGGTGGTGTTTTGGGGGCGTTGTTTCGGTGTGCATGGCTAATACCGCAGTGTAGTGTGTTGTGTGGCGTCCCGTCCCGTCCTGAGCGGTGTTGTTGAGGCTCACAGAGAGTTCTGCCACTCCCTTATCAGGTCATCTATTGTTTTTTTTTTTTAGAAATAAGCGCACGTGCTGTTCAGGTTAGCTTATAATGAAGAGACTTCAAATTATATTTTGTACTTTTTTTGCCGTATGTGTCTAACACCGGTCCAAGCTGCTGCGGCCTAACAGTAAGGGCTGATGATTTGTTTTTGTTTTTTAGTGGGATGTTCACAAGTCACAAGTCAACATAGAGCATTAAGCTGGTGCATTTTATGAGCTGCATCAGGGTGACCGTGTGTTGACATATTTGTTTCCTTGGTACGTCCTTTCTGTCCCCATCAAGCACTTCACATTTTAAATTTCAACACATCTCGGTGCAGGGCATTGAAGTGCTTGACCTAATTTCTCTGGCAGAGAAGAATCCACCAGTCAAGGCCTTCCTGTGTGTGTAATTGTGTGTGTGTTTGTGTCCATGTGTGCACGTTGCTCTGGGTGTTTCCTCCTTGCCTTTCTAACAGGAAGCTGATGTGGAGTTCAACTGAGGACAGGGAAAAGGCCTTTTCTTTCCACTGTGAATCATTTGAGAGCGGGAGAGAAAAAAAAAAATTGAAAAAAAAGAGAGGGGAGAGAAAAAAAAAAAAAGAAGAGAGACCAGGCCACTGCATTGATTCAACCCTCTTCAATCTGGCCTTCTTTTCTCTCTTTTGGTTTCTCCTTCTCTCTTCTCTCCTCACTCTCTCTATAGATTATTTTTGCTCATCTCAGTTTTTTTTTAATATTTTTTTTTAGTTGTATATCAGGCTTTCCTCGCGTTGGATAGTGCTCTGGAAGGAAATCGGCAAGTTCCTACATTTCACAAGTCCAGAGAGAACTGGGGGTGTGGGGCAGTACAGGGAGGACGAAAGGCAGAAGAAGCAGTGCTCTGTGAGGAGCTGTGCAGGTTCTTCCGGTTCAGTTTTTGTGTATCTGAAGTCAGTAGTAACTGGCCCTGGTGTGAAGTCCCTCGACGGTTTGTCTTCTGTTGTATTTGAAGCAGCAGTAATATGAAAAGAGGTTATAACGATATCAGAAGCAAAGCCTTGCAGGTTGTTGCTGAAGTGGCTAAAGTTACTGAGTGAAAGTGTGTGGCTGTGCTCATCAACATACATGACGTTTTACGGTTTTAAAACCCAGTCGTGGGCCGAATACGATTGACATTTATAGAACAGATCTGATACGGATGGACATAAACATTAACGTCAAGCAAAATGAAAATATTGTTACACGTAAAATGTAAGGTTTTAAGTTTTTTTTTAAAGAACTGTTCATTTGATTAAACAGGTAAAGTTACCTGTCATCCATTTGTTACAAACATTCTGTATTTGATCATTACATTCAACCTGTCCAGTACACATTAGCACAGACCTAAAGACAACCATACCCATGTGCAGCCCTGGTGTGCCGCATAAAGTGACACGTTGGCCCTGTCACCTTAGACAGGTGCACTAAGGGATTTTTGTTTTGTTTTTTTTAAGTGAGACTTCATAACATACCTGCAAAAGCTACTAAAACTGCTGCAGTCGAACGTCTCCCTGTCCTTTATTCTACGCAATTACAAAACTTAACGCAAGTGCAGAAAAAGACGTTTATTTGCTCGGAGAACACGTTCACTTCATCATCTGCCGTTTTCATATTCCCTCTGGCCGTAGAATGGGAGCTGCAGCTGACTCTGTGCTCTGACCTTTGTCAAGGACAGAGACAGCCAGTCTCTGAAGGGTTTTAATATTTGACTTTCTGAAAGGACACAATTTGATGATGTATGGCTGTTTTTATTTATTTATTTTTTTAGCATTTTACCTACCAGAAATGTTAATCCAGGGCCGGTTATCATTTTATTTTTATTATTTGAAATTCTGTGAAATAGTATATAATACTGATACTGATGTATAGTGAGATCAAACCCCTGTGGTTTTATCACTGAAATTTCCAGGGACATTACATTTTATCCTTTACTCAATTTAAAAAAGCAAGCAAAGGTCACAGGTCACACTAGTCAGGAAAATTGATAATATGCTAAAAACACCACAGATGAGCTCAGAATTATTCAGGAGTCTTTGCTAATGAGCAGATTACTTTAACATCGTGTTAGGTCAGACTTTTAAAATGATTTAATTTGACACTAGACACTTATTGATTGAGTAGAAATCACAAACAACTCCAGTTTTTAAATAGCTTAACATAAAAGGAGAATTCTGATGTATCTCAATGGACAACAGTGATTTCTTTAAACAGTATTTTCAGATGTTCAAAACAAGCAATTAACATAGCATTTAAAAGTCAATTACCCATATTTAGAGTCTCTTTATTACGTAACTTAATTAAAAAAAAGACAAACTTACGTTAAAACAAGCGACCTAATCAGTAAGTCTTGAGCTGAGTTCACACACTAACTTGTATTAACTCCTGATTTTCTAAAGTAAGTGTGTTTTAATTAAAAGTGAGTTGTCTAGTCTTATATATGTTTATATATATAAGAATGTTAGAATGTTTAAATTAGCAGAGGTAGAAAATCACATTAAGCATCACTTAGTTTCAAACCACACACATACACAGACACATAAGTGAATATGTGTGTATTTTACTTGCCTTCTCTCTCAGTGGGAATCATGTTTCCCCACACACCACTAGAGAAAGCCCAAGTACCACCAGTGGCATGCGTACCATAGCTTTAGAACTGCTGTGCAGAAATGGTTACTTTTTGAATTTCTTCAGATAATTCTGAATTCTATGTAAAATAATGGCAGTGATGTATTTTTTTTAGAAATGTTGTTGAAAAATCTCTATGTCTGCATTTAAAGAAATATTTTTTAGGAAATGAAGCTGAACTAAAACAGAGATTTCTTTTGTTCTTTAATTTCAATTTTGTTTTTGTAAGACAAAGCTTGTGGCGTGAACAAATTAATGTCATTTGTTTGAGCAAAAATTTGGATTAAAAAGGAAGGAACAAACCATAACTTTTCGTCTGACATGTAACAGCAGAAACTTTCCAGAAAGAATGTCCTGTTCTGGGTTTGTGCTGGCAGCACCGTGCACGGGTGGGAGACAACCTGCAACCCAAAAGTGCACAGTGCATTTCCAAATAAATTGCAGCTCCTGTGGTTTTTTTTTTTTTTTGCAGTGAATGATGCAACCATCCGGTCTTTAAATTTGTCGTTGATTTGTCCTTTGTCTCCGGGGCAGGTCAAAGAGGACAGAAGACAACGCGGCTCCCCCAGGCCTGGATGTAAACTCATGTGAGTAAGTGAAAACTTTATCTTGCCAGCAAGTAAATTATATTTGTTTATAATATTATTTTAGACAAATTTGAACACTGCATGAAGGCTATCGCTTTCATCACCTGTGGCACAGTTCTGATTGATGACAGATAATGAGTCAGAACTGTTTAACCGTTTCAGGCCGCCTTCTTATTTGTAACGTGAATTGTTCCATTAGAGGGATTCAGGGATTAAATTAGGTTTCAAGAGATTACACTTGAAGTTCATGCCGGAGCAAATGCAATATTTCATGATTCTGTCGTGAGTGCAATTTAAAAAATCAGAAGACCGACATTGTCTGTCGACCCGGTGTGAAGCCGGACTGAAAACAGGACGATCAGCGTCACGCTCGTTGTCACAGTCGGAGTTAAGAGTATTTAAACAGATAATAGTGAGGAGAGTTAGAAGTCACTGATGTGTCAGTTTGATCCATTAACACTATCGACTCTGTGACTTCTGCCCTGGTGTTTGACTGAGTTGCTGTGCAGTCATTATAATCTTCTTCCAAATTTATTTCGATCCAAAAATGTCACCCTTTTTTTTCTCTCTCTCTTTCACCTACATAAACACAAGTGCTATTTTGAGAGGCTTCTACTGAGATGAGTAACTTTTGACTTATAAGGAACACTTTTTGTTTCCCGTGACTAAAGAGACACTGGACCACACCAACAGCACAAAGTCCATGAGAGAAAGAAGAGCACTGTCACAATGGGCCCCGGGTGTATAGACTTTCCAGACAACAAAATAAGGAGCGTACCTTCATACAGTATCTCACTCACACTTGGCCAAATGCCTGGTTACAGGTATTGTGTCATGTTTGTTTTTACTTGCATGGACAACCAGATGGGTGGAGTTTCTCCAGTGCAGGAACAGAATCAATATTAGTCTCAGAAAAGTTCACTGAGTTTACCGACGCACTTCGAAACCTGATGTTCCTCTTACGTGTATCAGAGAAAGAAAACACTCCTCCTCCACCTTTGCCTCCTCCTCCTCCACCTCACATATGACTCTTCCCCCAAGAACAACAGAACAGAACTTTGTTTGTTATATACTGTGACTCTTTTGATATAATTAAAAAAGCCGGCGCATTCTGCTGTTAACACGTACAGACCCTGTGAGTACTCTCACAGTCAGTACTGTGTGTATTTTAATAATCCCTTGATTTAGTTGCACAAAAGTTTTGTTTTTTTTGTCAGAAAATACATGTGTCCAGTCAGTGTGATAGTAGAACAAAAGGAAAAACAAACAAACAAAAAACTATAGAAATCAACAGTTTGACTCAATTACTTTTTTTCTGAAAGCTTTACTTTTTAGTTTTTGAACAAAGCTTACTTTTAGGTTTTGATCTGAACAGTGAAGTAAAAGATAATTATCAGAGGTGTTTGATGATTCATTCTCTGCTTCTTCAGCCAAAACAGGCAGTGATGAGAATCACTGCCTGTGATTCTCATCACTGTAGAAGTGTAAGAAAAAAAAAAAATATCTGGAGACATCAAGTAACTTAAGTGTAAATTGTCTTCCAGTCGTGGTTTTACACACGTACTGTAAAGTGCTGTTTAACTGTAGTCAATATGCATAACCTTAATAGGTTTTATTTTTTTATCTGAGAGAAATTAAGTAAAAAAAAAAAAGTAGCTGATATAAGTGAGTGATTTCTTTTCTTTATTTTAACAACATGAGACATATTTGGAAAACCAAAGAGGACGATGTTGTAAGAACAATAATGAAACATACGTTCTGTGACATGATTTCTAGTGTGACAGCTCTTTGACTCTCCTCACACACTCGGCCGTCACGTTCTGATCTCCTAACACCTACCCTCGTCCCCATCCTTCCTTTGGGACAAGGGAAAGCGGTGAGGTGAAGGAAACAAGAGTTAATTTTTTTTTGCACTGTTCGACCACAGCCTGGTCGTCGCCTCACTGTCTCTCTCTGTGGTGTTTCTTTCCCCTTTTCACTTCCTCTGCCCTTCTCTCTGCTGAGATTTAGCTCATGTGTGACCTCTGCAGGTGTCAAGTCACACACAGCCGGGCTGACACAGGAAGACTTCCCTTTCCTTTCGAAGCATACTACTCCGAGGTACATCAAATAAACTAGGAAGTTCTGAAGTTTTTTCATATTCCTAAAAATGTCCTCACCATTTTAATTAGTTTTTTTTTTTTTTAGATTTAGATGTGATTATAAGAGACTTTGGCATTTGGAGTTGATGTTAAGTGATATTAAGCAATTACCGACAAATCAGATATAATAAATCAAAGCCAACGCATTTTTGGTCAGAATGATGCACATTATTTAAACCGGTCATTTGATTACAAAACCGTGGAACAAAAATTCTCATGTGTTTGACAGATTAGGGGTTCTTACGGGGTTGGTTGTCATTCCACATCATTTGCGCATTAAAAGAAAAAAAAAACCCAAAACTGTTACTAATAGAACTGTTATACAGTGATTTGTCCATTAGTCTGTGTCGCTCTGATCGTATGATGTCCAGACGTGCTGCTACCATCCACGCTCCAGCTTCACCAGCTTTGTAAAAAAGAGCACAGAAGCACCATATGTATTTAAAAATCTTTAAAGATAATGATTTTTTCCCTGCAGTTCAACTCCAATATTGTGTCATATATATCCAGTCAGACTTTAGGCGAGCTACAGTCGCCGCTCGTAAATCTTCGTATTTCACTGAAAAATAATTTGTTTGTTTTTAATGGACAGTCTCATCCCAGAAACTCTCACAGTGTCTCAGCTGCTTTCATTTTTTGTCTTTTTTTCTTTTTTCTTTTTTCTTTTTTTTTGCATCAGAGGTTGCGTTTACAAGCAAAAGAATTTTGTTTTTCTAACCCCTTTAACCAAGTTACAGCCTGACTCATGCGCAGCTTCCGACGCTGTCTGTTTGAATTGATTCTTTTTCTGATTATACAAAACCTCAACTGGTGTGTCTGACATTTACCCGTTACTGTGGCGTGACAAAAACCAAGAATCCAGTTCACCAGTACAAAGAGGGCAGTATGAGTAACTAATTGATACATAGTATTTGCTGTAGTTGTTTTGGGATTAATCCAATTGAAGGGTAATCTGTCACTCTCTCTCTTTCTCTGCTAATGTGTAACATACTGTAATCTCTGCGTCCTATTCTAGTAGTCTGTTAATATTAAATACTAACACGTATTTACCAGTGGCATGTCAACTATGCACTAACTCACTAGCTCCTCCTCGTATTACACCGAGGGCAGGGGGGCAGGTGCTAGTGAAACACCGTAGACATGTAGAGTGTAAAAGTAAAAGTGTGAGTGATGTCACCTTGCCCACTAGGGACTAAGTAATGTCGGGGGATGCTTGCTCTCTCAAAGATGAGGCTAAAATGAACTGTGCCACGGCATTAGGAAAATCTGTCTCCCTGGCTGCCTGTCCCTCTCAGACTGGGGGCTGCTCTGCCTCCACACAGAGCACTGGGCCACGGCTGCATTGTGGCCTGGGGCCTCATTTGAATGGGCCTTTAGTATTTTGTGTGAACAAGTCAGCGCCATTTGCATTTGTTCCAGTCACAAAGGTTTAACAGGTCAATAGGGACTCCCTGGCAGAAAACTAACACACTGGGATACCTTCTGCCCCCCCGCCCCTTCTTCCCTCACGTCTCCTCCAACGCTGTGGTTGTCAGACTCCCAGCTGGCTCGTCCTGCTAGTATATAAGTCCACCATGTTGTACGTGGACAGTTGTACGTCATCGCGTGAACGCACATGTGCTCGAGGAGGGAACTTTTATTAAAGAACGAAATGTTTGGTAACATATTTTGCACAGCCATTAGCACAGATTTAAAGCTGCTGCTTTTTTCCACTTAGTGGATTTAGTTCAGAAGCTAATGTTATTGTACCACAAACTACTGAGGTACAATAACAAAGGGATACTCTTTAACCTTTGAATTAAGGTTTTAAACCGAGGTCCGTCTTCAGGATGTACTCTCCGTATAAGAGCTTTTGTTCGTGACGGCTTTATGGCAAGACAGGAAAGCTTAGCTCGGACCTGAGAAAAAGAATAGTTGAAGCTGGAGACGTAAAGAGTTTAAAAATGTTTCCAACTGTCAAGGATTTATGTAAAAAGCGTTGCCTAAAAGTAATGAGAAATGATCCGCACGGAATAGAGAAGTAGACGAGAAATAAAAAACACTAACAATAAAAGTATTAGGATGTGTCTAGAGATGCAGGAATAACTGCCAAGGCAAAAGGGATCCTAATCAGTCATCAGTTATAAGTGTCAAAAAGGATAGTCACCAAAGCCCTGAACAAGAATTTACTGCAAGTTTTGGAGACCATGAAAACCCCACTTCTCCAAGGAGACACATCCGAGCCAGACTGAGGTCCTTGGAGGACGGCATGGAGAAAGAAGACACTGACTTATAGCATTTTATATGGACAAGCATAACAAAGCCATATCTATGAAGCCATAGGGCGAAGCAGAGAGAACACTGCAGTAAAACATAGTCATGAGTTTGTGTCTATAATATGTTTCTGCGAAGATACTTTAGAGCTTCTGGAACGAGACGACCCGAGAGAGTGGAAGGAACTGTGGAGGAAGAGCAACGTGAAAATCGGACATTGTGACTAATGTTTGGTGTCCCCAAACCCGAGAATACCGTGCCACAAACTTTGCTTAGAAACAGACCAGGAATAGGTGTTATAAACCAAAGCAAGACCAAGCAGGGTCCACCAGAAGACCCAGAAGTCTGGAAGAGCTCACGAGAGAATCCACCAGAAGTCTGGAAGAGCTCACGAGAGACCCCATGTAAAACTAGCTGTGATTCTTTAGGTCAGTGGTCATCAATGGACTTTTGCCCCAATGATAGCTTTTATGATAGACAATATCCTCACTAACGTCAGTGTCATGGTTGTCTGGGTTTATTACATTTATAATTAAAATATCAAAATAATTATTTCATGTTGTTTACTTTCACTTCTATTGCTATTGAAAAAAAATAGTTTTAAGCTGCC